TACTGAGTTCTACCGTTTTATATTTCCCCAGACGAAAATTAGAATTCAGTTTGACAACGTGACATGGTATTTTTCAATGGGGGGCTTTGCAGAAAATCCCCTTAATAGTGTAAGTGCTCATCTCTCCATCCACCCATTTACCCATTTCATTAATATTAACCACCTTTTATTTACCAATCCTTGTTTCAATGTGGGGAATCAGCTATGTCTGAGGTTGTAATAGTGCCCATATCTTAGAAAATATTTGTCCTTTCAATTCCCAGCCTCCAAAAATGAAAAAATAGAAACTGGTATTTTTTTCCAGAAAAAAAAAACAAAACGGAGAAGTAGAGAAAGATGGCCCACTGACATGCAGAAGAGACTCATCAGTTTAAACTGCTTTACTGCCATTCGAATATAATGGTACCCAAACTTCCGCTACGGAGTTCAAATTATTTTAACAAATATGTATAAAACTATGTGCAAGAAACTATGTTAGACACTACGGGAGTTACAGAAGTGAAAACAACTTAGTTTTTCTCCTTGAGGAGAATAAAAATATAATTGAGAAGTACTAAGAAGAAAATATTAAAAACTACACTTTTATGTCACATTTAATAAGAGCCATAAATGGTGTTGCTGGTGGGGGCAGGATAACCCAGAGAGGGCACAGTTACTTCTCTCTAAATGGGATAAGACAACAGCATGGCAAATTTGGCATTTAATCTGAACTCTGAAGAAGGAAGGGAATTTTAATACGTGGAAACGAAGGGAGGGAGAGGTGGGAGGCAGGATATTATAGAGGGAGAAAGCATCATGAACAAAAAGCACATGGCAGCATAGTTTGGGAATGGCAGACAGCTGGGAGTGAACAAACTAGATTTAAAAGATGTAAAAGAACAAAAATACAAATTAAGAAAAAAAGAAAAAGTAGAATGGATAAATTGTGTTATATCCATACCATGGAATATTATTCAGTGCTCAAAGGAGATGAGTCATTAAGCCAGGACGAGACAGGGAGGAACCTAGGATGCACATTGCCAAGTGAAGGAAGCCAGCTTGTAAAGGCTGCGAACTATGTGATTCCAACTATATGACATTCTGGAAAAGCCAAAATATGGAGAAAATAAAAAGACCAGTGGCTGCGAGGAGCTGGAGGGGCAAGGAAGGGATGAATAGGTAGGTGGAGGACAGAGGATTTTTAGAGCAGGAAAAGTATTCCGTACTATACTATAATGGTGGATACATTTGCCACAATCCACAGAATGTATCACAGAAAGAAGAGAAGGTTTAAGGGACAACAGTGACTTGTTTTTGAACATATCGACTATAAAGTGGTAACCAGGGGCCATTCAAGTGGGGATGTTTGACAAGAGAGACCTAAAAATGGGGTCTGGAGCTGAGGAATATATTATTTACAACTCACCTACTTAAAGGTAATCGTTGCTACAGAAGCGCATGAGATGATTCAGACTGAGAAGGTGGACTGGGGATTAAAGAGGGCAGAGGACAGGCTCATACACCGCACACCTTCCATTCCCCATGTCGTTCTCATCAGTCTTCCCCAGCATTCATCAGCACGCTGTTTGGTGGCGTAGAGCATCACAGGTGTAGGAAGCACTTATGTGGTGCATGGTAGTGGCACAGGGAGAAAAAAATAGAAAAGATGAGGAATGCTTAGAAGTTGATGTGACAATTCCTCCACTGGCTCAGAGGATTGGTCATCAATGGAGGAGTTTTCTGACAGAGCACTTCTTGGAGGCCAGGCTGGTGTGGTGATTTAGAATTCAGTGCCTCTCATACTTTAGCATGTAATAGGCTAAAGACTTGGAGGTTTTTTCACCAGCTTTATTGAGATGTACTTGACATTTAACATTGTGTAAGTTTCAGGTGTACAATGTGATGATTTGATACACTTATATATTGCCGAATGTTTACCACAATAAGGTTAGTTATCACATTTTTCACCTCATGTAATTGCCATTTTGTTGTTGTTGTTCTGGTGAGAATGTTAAATCTCAACTCTCATAGCAACTTTTAAGTATAAGGTACTGTTAACTATATCACCATGCTGTCCCTCAGATCTTGCAACTTGTAACTAGAAGTTTGTACCCTCTGACCAACATCTCTTCATTCTTTCCACCCCTCAGTCCTTGGTAACCACCATTCTACTCTCTGTTTCTATGAATTTAATGTTTTTAGATTCTACATATAAAGAAGATCATAGAATATTTGTTTTTGTCTGACTTATTCACTTAGCATAATGTTCTCAAAGTCTATCTATGTTGTTTTAAATGGCAGAGTTTCCTTCTTTTTTTTATGCGGAATAATATTTCATTATATACATACACATACATACATATACATGTACATCACATCTTCTTTATCCGTTCAATCATCTATGGACACTTAGGTTATTTCCATGTCTTGCCTGTTGTGAGTAATGCCGCAATGAATATGACAGCACAGATATCTCTTCAAGGCAGCGACTGCATTTCCTTTAGACATATACTCGGAAGTGAGGTTGCTAGATCATATGGTAGTTCTATTTTTAATTTTAACCTGAGGATTCTATTCAGTAGGTATAGGATTGGGCCTGATTGTTTGCGTTTATAATTCCCAGGTGATCCTAAGGCTGTCGATCCATGGGCTGTATTTTTAGGAGCATTGATTTAGATCATTTTACCTATTACCAAATGCCAGATAGAGGGATCGAGAAAATACCTGCATGCATCATAAAGGGGATTCTGCTATCCTTCCCTTATTTATAAAAGAGAGCAATTGCCAAACCCTTTACCCTTTACCAAAAGAAGAGCTAAGGTTTTGAAAGGGGAACCCACCATTTTAGCTTTTCCTCACATCTTTTTTTCCTCTATTTACAGACTATCCAGATCCTGGTTGGACTGATGAACTTTTCTTTTGGAGTTATTTTTCTCTTCACCTATGAAAATCCGTACCCAAGGTTCCCCTTTATATTCGTTACAGGATATCCATTCTGGAGCTCCGCTTTGGTGAGTAGAGTCAATCAAGTTCAATTTGAAGCCATGCCAACAGGAAGATTAGAGAATTCTTGGTTACAAAACTTATCAGTTGTATGACAGACTTTAAATAGTTAAAATAAAAATCAACCTTGTTGAAATTATTTCCCCATTAATTCATCAGAGTTACCGATATCCCATCATTGGGTCTTGAAGTTTCTTTGGGAATATTTCTTCCAGTCTTGAGGTTATCTGTCCATTCATTCATTCAAAATAAGTTACTATCTATCATAAGCCAGATAGATAGAGGAAGGCAATGGGGATCCAACGCTTAATAATACATGGGCCCTCACTATGGAAACCAGTATGGAGGTGCCTCAAAAATTTAAATCTAGAACTACCACATAATCCAGCAATTTCGCTTCTGGGAATTTATCCAAAGGAAACAAAAACACTATGTCAAAGCGATTACCCATGTTCATAGCAGCATTATTTACAATAGCCAAGACATGGAAAATATCTAAGTGTCCATTTATGGACAAGTGAATAAAGAGTTGTAAATATACACGTGCATGCACGCACGCACACACACACACACACACACACACTCGTGTATTTATAATGGAATATTATTCAGCCATAAAAAAGAAGATATCCTGCCACCGTGACAACATGAATGAAACTTGAGAGCGTTACACTAAGTAAAATGAATCAGATAAAGACAAATACTGCATGACCTCACCTATACATGAAATCTAAAGGGGGAAAAAAAAAAGAAAGAAAAAGAGATCAGATTTGTGGTTACCAGAGGCAGGAAGTGAGGAGAGGGAAATTGGATGAAAGTGGTCAAAAGGCACAAATTTCCAGCTGTAAGATAACAAAGTACTAGGGATGCAACGTGCAGCCGCTATATGTGATAACCATAATTAACACCGCTGTGCGATACACACGGAATTTTACAGAGAGTAGGTCTGAAGAGTTATTCTCATCACAAGGAAAAATATATTTTTTCCTCGTTTTTCTTTTTCTTTGTATCTATATGAGATGATGGATGTTATCTAAACTTATTGTGGTGATCATTTCGTGATCCATGTAAGTCTAATCATTATGCCGCACACCCTAAACTTATACAATGCTGTACGTCAATTATATCTCAGTAAAACTGAGGGGAAAACAAAAACCAAAATGAACAGAAATAAAAATACATATGTCTTTTCTTCACATACCCCTCAGTTAGCAAGAAAGAAAACATGTAAACACGTAATTTCCAGGCAATCTGATAAACGGCATCACAGAGGAGTGGAAAGTGCTTACATAAGCCGAGATGAAGTGGAGAAGGCGTTTCAGATGGACCTTTGAGCTGCACAGATGCATTTATTTAATCACATTCAATAAACATTGTTTTAGCACCTAATTTAGTGTCAGAGAATGGGCCCTGTGTGGAGATGTGGAGAAAAGGCAGTCGCTGGTTTCAAGGTTTCGGCTGAGTGGAGAGTCAGACAATGACCCCATGGTGGGATGAGGGGTGACATCGAGGACACGCGAGCTGCCTCTACAGGAAAGGCACCTACGAAACGAAGGGGAGGTGGCCCAGACACATTTCCGGCTTGACTGAATTTTAAAGGATGTGAATCAGATGTGGACACATACAGAGGAAGGGTGTGGGGGGTGGCTGGGTGGAAGTGGGGCAGGTAGGGCCATCCCATCGTATGCCAAGGGAGAAACATGAGAAAAAAGTGTAAGGCGTGTGAGAACACTTTCTATTCTGAGTTCAGCGCAGAGAGTAACAGTGGAGGGATGAGGTGGAAGAAACGCCATGAAATGGGCCTAGAAATTTAAAAAACAGATGTGCTGTAATCAGATTTGAGGTTTATGCTAGATAAGGATGCCACCACATATGACTCACCTCCGTGAAAATTCTTGAGATCTTTTTCAGAATTCCCAAAATATTAGCTGCAACTCCACCTATGCTCCCAACCAAGAGAACACACTGAACTGCAAATGGGTATAAAAGATGTTTCTTATAAGAATGATGGAATCCAATCTTATTGGTTGTAAACTGATTTGACACCAGGGGGTCAGGATATCAAAGCTGAGTCCGCAGTAGCTAAAAATGAAAGATGGATGAGAAAACTAAAGCCCAGTGAGGTTAAAAAAAAGCCTCACGTTCAGATAAATATTAAGGCTAAAGCAAATGTCTAATCCAGTATTTTGTACACTATTCGTTTATAAGCAACCATACATGGCCTCACACCCTTCTCATATCCAAGGGTTGCGTGAAGTGTGAAGAAGGGTCTGCAAAAGAAACGGAGAAGTTTATTCTGTGAGAAGTCTTTAACATCAGCTAACATGTCCGTCAGTAAGATATTCATTCTTTTTAACAGTTCATTAATTCTGGAGCCTTCCTAGTTGCACTGGAAAGAAGAACCACAGACGTTCTGGTGAGTTATAGTCCCCTTTATTAAAAATGTATAAGTTTGAGATATATAATTAATCCTAGCCGTGAAAATCAATTTGGAAAATCATTAAGCCACTATAATTCCACAAACTGTCAATTACTGATACAATCAATCGATGTTATTCACGTCTTTTTTTTTTTATAGAATCATAAAACATTAGTGCTAAAAGAGTTTTCTAGGTTATCAAGTTTAATTATGACTTTATATATAAAGACACTGAGGCATAGAATAAATGATTTGTCCAAGTTCCTCAGCCAAATGACAGAATGGGTCTCATTATATCAGTAACTCATTCATTCTTTCTCTAAGTTTTTTTTGGGGCCTAGTGCATGCCAGTTACTTTGATAGGCAATAGCTTGACTCATATTATAGGTACATTATGTAGGCAATATAACTAAACCTGATAGAATCTGAAAATAAATAATACAGAGTTAATAATGCAAAATTTTAACTTATAGATAAATTATAAGTAGAATACTTTTACTTTTTTCAAAACATGGAAGATATGAAATATTAATTATCTGATAAATTATTTTCAGCAAAGGACATCTCCCGTAGATTTGTAGTTTTAGAAAGAAATAAAATTGCAAATATAATTTTTAGTTTAAACAGAGTCATAAAACAAAAGTGTCAATAGGTCATGACTTACCGGAGCATCAAAGTGCAATGCAATGTGGCTACCCCTAAAAAATCTTTTTGTCCTGTGTATACCCCTCCCCTCAATTAAATGGGGGATGGATTATTAAAAATTCGCTGGATCCCCTCATTCTGTAGATGAGGGCCTGAAGCCCAAAGAGGTAGTGACTCACATAAGATGACACACGGTTGCTCCGTGGCATTATGATGTTGGGACTAAAGTCCTGCTCCCCATTTTGTCTATAGACTCAGACTGGGCCTGAATCATTGTGTTATGTTCTTTTTCTCTTTCAGATGAAGATGAGCCGAACAATGAATTTTTTTAGTGCCCTGGCAGCAACAATAGGAATCATTCTCCTTGTATTTGGTTTCATTCTAGATCAAAACTACTTTTGTGGCTATGCTGAAGAAATCAGCGAGTGTAAGCCTGTTACCACCCTATTCATTGTAAGTATGCTGCATTTTAGTAATAGTTTTAATTGTAAAGACGGATTAGCTCCCCAAATCAGCATCATCCAAATAATGTTGCTGACACACGTATTTTCCTTTGTTCACAAACATTTACACAAATCATAGTTATCTGACAGTCATTATGCCAGGCACTACAGAATAGAAAAATAAACATAGTATAATCCCCAACTTTAGGAATGCACAGATGAGTAGAGGAGATAAAACATATACATCAATGAGGACAATATAAAAGATAAAGTTCTATACTAAAAGGAAATACGGGTATAGCCGAATAGTAGTAGTTCAAAGTCCTGGATATGAGAGGAATGTTTTTATGGTTTTAGTATTTAGACTGGACTTCTGATAAAACAGGATAGATAGAAAACAGGCATTTATTTCTGCTCTTTCTAAAATGCCACTTAAATTAGCGTAAATGAATGTAAAAGATATGCATCTACATGGAGGAAAAAAATAGTCAATAAGACCCATCAAATATTGCTGAGACAGCTGAAAACGAATTGCCTAAAAAAAGGGGGGTCCTAATAGAAGTAAAATATTTCATATGGCAGATTCTAAGAAACACTGAGAATCTAGACAGACCAGGACCACAGGAAATAGGGAAAAAGAGAAGAAAATAAAGACATTGGTTCTGGTAATAATAGTGAAATGGGCTATGTGGATTGAGCTTCCTCTGAAAACAAAGAAAAAATTTAAAAACAAAACAAAACATTTTTAAACACCTTAGAAGCGCTGAAGGGCTGAAGAGTCATCTGGAACTCCTAGGTCAATTTTTAGATGAAAGTCTAACCTGAAATCAGTCAGTGGAATGCCAGAGAGCAACAGAGCTGCTTATACCTCAAGGCCACCAGCCAACGCTGCCCATTTGGAATCTGATTCCCAACCTGAGAGCAGTGAAGGAAAAAGAAACCAAGGCCTAGAGTCCACTCAGGACAGGAAGACTGAGAAGTGACATTCCCACACTGAACTAGGTTATCGATAGACGATTACACTCTCCTGGTAAAGACCAAAAGACACACAAAATACTCTGCCCCATAATGGCAGAGATAACTTACTGAATGGAGTGATAGAAAGAGAAAGTCTTTGAGAAATTGTGGCCCCAGACCAGGTCCCCTGACAAAATCCTCACGTCCCTCACCCCCACTGAGATTTTACCCTTTGGTAGACACACATATCATCTTTTTGAGATGCTACTGAGACTTAGACCTCAGAAAATTTGATAAATTCCATGTGTATGATCAATAGTTTTTCCTGAAAGAGACAGATAGGAGGTCGAAGTGTTCGTAAACTGAATCCATCTGTGTATCAAGTTACTGGTCTTCCCCTTTCTCTTCTGTATTTCTTGGAATGAAGTCACTGTGTGCAACCAACAGGAGGGAGTTAGGCTCCAACTCCTTGGAGACAGAGTAGCTACATAAATCATTTGAAATTCTTCTAAACTGGAGATTTGCCTATTCTCCCTCTGCTTACTTACTGAATCATGGATCTATGGGTATTTATTTTCTGTTTTCGGTTATCATCTAAAACTATTCATTTTGTTGTGCAAATTGTTCAATTTTAGCCATTGGGAACTCTTTCACTTGGCTTCTGTGACCTTTCAATATACCCACAAGTGTGTGTGTGGGGGGGGTTGTTTGTTTGTTTTAGCATTTCCATACTTTCTGGCACTACGAGATTCACCAGGCTTCTCTTATACCGCCCCTGCCCCAGGTCTACAATAGGCCAATTCTCCAAAGAACTCTGGTTCCTTTTGTTGGAGATGGTATTAGAAACCACAGTATGGGCACTAGGTGTACTTGTTGCTACTGGAGTACCATTGTTTCTTAGGCCCTCCCAGGGGACAGAGCACAAAATATGTGTGTGTGCTAATCCATGTATATACTTCTATCTATCAATGCTTCTTTATGTATCCATCACTATCAACATTAGTGTAGGCATGACTTTTATAATGATATCTACAAGACTTATCTATTTACCGCAGGGATCATTTTAGCCTTCTCCATTGGTTACTTGTAACCTCTCCCCACCCAACAGTGAGAAACCTGACTCTCCCCATTTACTTAATCTTCCACCCATTTACTTAATTTTTCAATGACAGTTTATACATGTAGAATGGTGTCAGACCGTGAACTGATACCCCCATAGGAAATGGTTTATGAAGTAAATTGTAACTTACCAAATAATTAAATATAACTTATAAATATAAGTGAGAAGTTATATTTAACTGATAAATCCATGGGAAACAATGCTTACAGTTAGTTCCTTTTGCATTTAGTCTTACAGACTCCATTCATTTCCAAAGTACTTCAATAAGCACCTTCCCTCAACCAATCCTCTTCAGTGAGCTTATTTCAGATATTCCTAATGCAATGAGATTACTTTGTCTCAGTCTAATTTATATTCTGGCATCCCTTGAGTACTTAAAAGATTTTTTTAAATTTGTATACATTAAGGTTCATTCTCTGCAAAGCAAAAGTTCTTAATTTTGATGAAGTCCAATTTATCTATATATAAATTTTTTTCTTGCTTGTGCTTTTGGTGTTGTAGCTAAGAAACCATGGTCTAACCGAAGGTCATGATGATGTATTCCTATGTTTTCTCCTAAGAATTTTAATGTTTTAGCACTTATGGTTAGCTATGTGATCTATCTTGAGTTAATTTTTGTGTCTAGTGTGAAGAAAAAGTTCAGCTTCATTACTTTGCGTGTTGTCCAAGCACCATTTGTTGAAAAGTTTTACTTATTTTATTTCCATGGCGCCCTTGATGAAAATCAATTGAGCATGAAATGTAAGAGAAAATGTTCTTCAAAAGTAAATTTGAAGATATCAGACTCACAAAAAGTGAAAAAATTTGGCATTGGCAAAACTTCACTAAAAGGGCATATTAAAGGAATTCTTTAAGCAGGTGAGAAACGCAAAGAATAAACACCACAGGAAAACACAGCACTTCTGGAAGAAATAAAGGGCGTTGAAAATGGCAAGTCTGAGAGTAAAGCTAGCATGTCGAATGTTTAAAAAGTAGGGATTTCTTATGGGGTTTAAAACAAAAGTGGCATAAAAGCAGGAAGGGTATAAATGAAGTATTCTCTCACATCCTAGCATTGTCTGGGATGTAGTAAAAGCATCAATTCATGGTGGCTATTGTGAGTGAAAGAAGGAGTTGGTAATTTCCATGGTCACCACTTTGAAGAACAATTTTTAAATGTAGAATAAACAAGTTTATATGTACAAAAAAAAGAATAAAAATAATTTTAAAATAGTTTATTAATTCAAATTTGAACATATAGAGAAATAAATAAGAAATGGGACATTTTAAAAATAAATGATGAGAAGAGATAGTTCAATAGAAATCTATCAGTAACTGCATTAAATGGAAAATACTCCAATTAAAAAACAGAGGTTGTCACAGTGAATTAAAAAAACTGTGTTCTGTTTGCCAGATATATCTATAGTAATAACAAAAACTTAAGGCAAAAAGCCTTACCAGACATAGGATAGGGAGGGTTTCATAATGAAAAAAAGATCAATCCACAAGAAAAATATCACAATTCTAAGTTTGGTTGCTTCTTATAACACACCTCAAAATATTAAAAGAAAAGCTAACAAAACTTTATAAGTAGAAAAAGCTAACATCATCAAAAGAAATTTTAGCACACCTCTTAGTAAATGAAAGAATATGCAGAAAGGCCATAAAATGATAGGATTTTAAATAATACAATAAAGAAAAAAAACCTAAATGTCACATTATTGATGGAGGCCGGAAGATAGTGGAAAGACATTTCTATAAGTGCTCAAATAAAATAATACAAATCTGAATTCTATGCCTGGTTAAAATGTCCTTCAAAAGTGAAGTTGAAATAAAAATGATAATGACAAAGAATAACTGAAAGATTATACAAAGAACATTTTCCACAAAAGCCATAGGGCAAGTCTCAGTGAAATCTAAAGAAGTATGTTCTCTGCATACAATGGAACTGTGTTAGATGTCAATTTAAAAAACCCCAAAAACCCTAACAATTCTAAAACAGCTTGGAAATTCTAAATTACGTTAAGACTCTAAGAAGAATTAAAAATATATTAAAATAAAATAATGAAATATTCATACCAAACTGTATTGGATGCAACTAAAGTATGTTTAGAGGAAATTGAAATATTGGAAAAGAAGAAATACTGAAAAATAAATGATCTAAATAGCCCTATTAAGAAAATAAGACATCCGGAGTTAGTCTGCTCAGGCTGCAATAACAAAATGTCACAGGCGTTCTTAAAAGATGGTGACATAGGAGGCCTTTGAACTCCCTTCCTCTCACGGCCACACCAAATTTACAGCTACCATGGAAGCATTCCCTGTCAAAGAAATCCAGACACTAGCTGAGCGACTCCAACACATCAGGTGAACAAAAAAATACTTCAAAACAGGCAGAAAATAGGAAATCTGAACAGATAATTACTAGTAAGTATACTGAATCAGTAGTCAAAATCTCCCAACAAACAAAAGCTCAGGATCAGATGGCTTCACTGGCGAATTCTACCAAATATTTTAAGAAGAATTAATATCAATCCTTCTCAAATTCTTTCCCACCACCCCCCAAAAAAATAGAAGTGGAGGTTTCAAATTCATTTTACAAGGTCAGCATTATCCTGATACCAAAACCAGACAAGGACACTATTAGAAAAGAAAACTACAGGCCAATATCCCTGATGAACATAGATGCAAATACCTGCAACATTTTATTAGCAAACTGAATTCAACAATATATTAAAAGGATAATATACCATGATCAAGTGGGATTTATTCCAGGATGGTTCATAACATAATAAAGGATAAAATCATATAATCATCTCAATAGGTGCAGAAAAATAATTTGACAAAATTCAGCCTCCTTCTATGAAAAAAATCAAATTCTCAACACGTTGGGATAGAGGGATGTACCTCAACATAACAAAGGGGATATGACAAGCCCACATTTAACATCATGCTCAACAGTGAAATGCCAAAAGCTTTTCCTCTAAGATCAGGAACAAGAAAAAGATACCCCTCTCACCATTTCTATTGGACATTGTATAGGAAGGACTATTCAGAGCAATTAGGAAATGAATGAGTAAATGAATGAATGAATGAATGATAAAAGATATCCAAATCAGAAAGTAAATCTGTCTCTGTTTGCAGATGACATAATTTTGTTAAAACTAGAAACAATTAACAACAGAGTGGCTAAACGAACCGATTATTCAAACAATAGAATACTACTACTGAGCAAAATAAAAGGAACAGACTGATACATGCAACAACGGGTATGAATTTCAATTCATTATATTGAGCAAACAAAATCAGATATAAAAATGAGCAGGCAAATTTAATAAGTGGTGCTAGCAATCATAATAGTGGTTACCTCTGGATGGGGTATCAGGATTGATTGTGAAGGGACATAAAAGAACTTACCAAGGTGACAAAAATGTATAATATATCTTAATTTGGAAAGCAAATTAAGCAAATTAAGCAAATATATATTGAGTACAATATATATATTTACATATAAACAGTGGTATGATAAAAAAATTGGAAATTTTTTTAAAGCAGATAACAGCAAAGTTTTAATGTTTTTATATACAAGAAGTGAATATAACTGGCAAAAGAACACAATAAAAAATAGACAAAGCTTATGAGAAAGGAATTTACAAAAATGCAAATGTAGTGGTCAAACATACTCATAGAGTGATGCTCAAAATCACTAGTAGTAGGAGAAATGTCAGTTAAACTAACAACAGACTAATCACCAGATTGGCAAAAATTACAGAGTTATCAAAATTATCACTGGCAGAGAAAAGGTGAAAAGCATGCTCTTATATATCAGATGTTACTGCCATTTTGGAAAGCGAGGAACATTTACTTATATGAAAGTCACACATACCTTTAATCCAGGTAGCTATCTCTACAGCAATTAAACCACCTACATGTACGGGTATGTGGACAGGAATGCTTATCACAAAAGCAGAAAAGAAAGAAAACGAGGAAGAGGAAATGAATTATTTCCTGTCACTAATGAATAAATAAATGACTTATGGCAACTACACCATGAGATGTTAAGAGCCCATTGAAAACCTTGTAACTCTAAACGGTTTTTTTAACCTATAGTCAAAACACATAGACAAATATGGTTGTAGAACAGACTGTGAACCATATGTTACTGGCAAAACACAAAGGTTGGTCCAGCCTCTGGACTACTAACAAGGCGTGCATCCCTGTTTCCGCTCCTGGTTGCCAGGATACAAACATTTTAAAGATCTTAGCAACAGTAAAAAGGACACAAGATGGTCCTTAGCCTATGCTTCTTGTTAGGTGTCTTTTCCTGCATGTTCCTCTTTTTCTGGGCCTGTAGTTTGCTCTTTTCTCTCTTATTCTTTTATCTTCTTTTCTATTTTTGCTTCTCTTTGTCCTTTTTCTTAACTTTTGTTTCTCCTTCGAGAGATCGCTTTTTGATATTAATTCTTGGCATTTTATTTATGAAATGGAGTACTGCCTACACATAATTTAGAAAGTGGGCTATTTTACATGACTTTAAGAAAATAATGTGCACTGCGATGCTGTGCTGTGTGGTGCTGGGCAGAGCTGAGCTGTGCTTTGCTAAAACAGCAGAAAGTTGTCATGAGCCTCCACTTACTTCCTAAGCATCAGATACACTTGAGACACATGGGGGAGCTACCTCACCTGGGCATTGCTACCTCGCTGTCAAAAGAAAAACAATTATTGTGCTAATGGCGTGACTTCTCTTCTTTTTTTCTTCTGTTATAGGGAATTTTAATTATATTGATGGCCCTCAGCATTATTGAGTTTCTCGTCTCTACGTCCTTCTCATTCCTGAGTAGAGCCTTTGACTGCTGTAATTGCGAGGAATGGTGTTGAATAGCACTGTGAGAATAAAGATGTGTAACAATATGAAGGAGAGATGAATTATGCTTGTGAGGAAAAGCCAAACGGAACATTGGCGCTAAAGCCGGCAACTCTTTGAAGCAAAGGGGAGCGACTCGAGGGAGCAGGGAACGTTTCAGCTGTTAAGACACACCCTGCCTCTTTGCAATGCCATCTCCTTGCCTCCCCAAATCACACGGCCGTCCTGGTGTCAGTCACCTCCTCTGTCAGTCATGCATTCACGTAGCATTGCCACTGTAAGGACAGAGACGCGAACCACAGCCCAGGGGCTGGAGTGACCGGGTCCACGATTTCTCCAAGAGACTCTACCTGGCGGCTCGTACTCCACCGTTGTGTGGAAAGATGAGTTGGTTGGAAGGATGGCTTGGCCCACTAATTTTACATCGGCCATGTAACATCACACGTGTTACCCACGTGTAACCACCGCACGGCAGCAACGTGCGGGGCACACACTGGTGAGAGCCCCTGCAACGTTCCAGGCACCGCGCAAAGTGCTTTCTGTGTTTGACTCGTTTAAGCTCACGAAAATCCTAAGAAATATTTTATTATAATACTCATTTTACAGACAAGGAGGCTGAAGCACAGGGAGGGTTAGCGGCATGCCCAAGGTCACGAAGCTTGCAATCGCAGAGCCCTGATCTCGACAGGCAGTCTGGCCCCAGAGCCCACGGTCTTAAGCCCTATACCAACGTACCAATGTCTCTTCTTTAACTTTTGGTCTCAGGACCCTTCTACATTCTTAAAAATTATAGAAGACTCATCATACGTTACTACAAATAACACTTTCATTTAAAAAAAAAAAAAAAAAAACAAACCCTGTATTTTCCCAAATAGAAAATATTGGTGTTGAGAGTAGCACTAGCATAGAGTTTTGCCAATCTCTTTTTTTAGGTTACTTAACATTCTTTTACTTTTATTTTTTAGCTTTATTGAATTATAGTTGACACAAAAAAAATACAAAAAAAAACCCCACAAAAAAACACCCACATATAATGTATGCATATGGCCAATGCCATCCGCATGACCAAGATACTAAGCACACCCATCACTGTCTAAAATTTCCTCATGTTCATTTGTGGGGTTTTGCTTTCATTTTCATTTCTTTGATAAGAACAGAATACGAGATGTATCTTCTTAACATACAGTACACAACACCATATTATTAACGACGAGCACTCCGCTAGATAGCAGATCTCTAGAGCTCACTCATCTTGCATAATAAACTCTTTATAGCCTTTGAAAAACAAACCCCCATTTAACTTTACTGCCCATTCGCATCATCTGAGGAACTTTTATCAACCTCAATGCACCATACACCACCATGTATCCATTAAACGGGAATGTGGGGAGAGCCGGGCATCGATATATTTTTTAAAGATCTCTAGGTGAACCCAGAGCAGAGCAAAGTGTGGGACTCGCTGCTCTCCTGTAACCTAATGGATGACAACCGGGTTACCTGCTTTTGCAGTCAGTCTGCTGTGACAGCTCGTCCTCTGTGTCCTGTGGAGAATACCACTGTAAACTCGTGGAAAGGGGTAAACAAGGTTTTAGTACTATCATGAAAATTGTTTTGAGGTCACAGACCCCCTAAAAGGGTCTCAAGGGCCCCAGAAGTTTCCTGGACCACCCTCTGGGAACCTTTGTATTTCCTCCACTGGTGGAGTACCTGCTCAATACTAGAGATCTTGCCTCTGTCACGTCGCTTAAAAGTCACCACGGCCCCGAGAGGTATAACTGGCCTATGTCACAGACACGAAAACTGAAGCTCCACGTGGTTAACGTTTCTGAGACCATAAAGGTAGTGGGATTTAGAACCAGGATTTAGATCAAGATCCCTAACTCCAAACCCCATTATCCTCTGCTGCTTTTGGCCCAGAAGAAACTTGCAAACTCAAAGAAATAAACGCTCGGGCTTTTCTTTCTGCTACAAGCTGGAAGGAGAAAGGCCTGTAGGTGCATATGTGAAGGCAGGGGATGGGAGAGTGAGGATCTGATGAAAAACGTTTTATTATTTTTTTAAAAATATTAATTTCCAGTGGAGTGAGGTTCAGATGAGAAGTATTTGGCAGCTGAGTGAGGTTCAGAGGTGTGGAGCTCGAGATATATTTAAGGATGAGAAGCTTTACGGTAAAGGCTTTTAAGTCAGACCTAGTTTTAAATGTTGGTTCTGCAATTTAAAGCTGATTGACTTGAACAAATTATTTAACCTTTGTGAGCTATAAATCTCTAGACTAAAATGCAATAATACCCACCTGATGGGTTTACGTGACACATGTGAAATGATTTTACCAGTGCCTGGAACTTAAAAATCACTTAATATATGGTAGATTTTCTTTTAAATTTATAATTAAGGTTTTGTTGCTTTCTAAACATCACATTTTATCACTTACTATGTGACTTTGGGCCAGTTTCCCCCGTTTCCTGAACTTTAGTTTCCATGATTATAAAACAGAATCAATACTATAGGTGTTATACGGTCAGCGCTTGGGATATAAGTAGGTATTCAACTAGTGTTACTTTCGTAACTGTTAAAAATATAAAGTGGTCCCTCAGGACAGAAAACCTCATAAACTGCAAAGCTCTTAAGTACTCAAATTTACATTTTTCTTTGTTTTAATTATTTATAAGTACAACATTGGGACTTTCCAACTTGCAATCAAGTTCTATTTGCAATAAGACCTTTAGTTTCACCTGTGAAGGACCCTGTACCTCCCTTACCAATTCTCTCAAACCAAAAGCCTCCAACACCAGTTGGCGACTCTGGGTGGCAACGCCCTGCCAAGCAGTTGAGAGCACATCACAAAGTTACCGCCACAAAGTTACCGCCACAATGTTAACCATCTAGATGGGAGAAAGAACCAAAGCGGAACCATCATCCCTCATGGCACTGCAGAGAACACAGCCACACAGCTTTCAAGGGACATACAGACCAAACGACACAAATGATTATGATACTCCGTCACAATTACATTACAAAATATAGTTTTTGTAAGTAAGGCAAAAATGTTTCAAGGATTAAAAAAGAAAAACAGGAGTGTTAGGAGATGGGGTTGGGGGTGCATAAAAAGAAGAAAAATTCCTATCAGGAAAATATTAACTAAAGTCGAGTTAATAAACTTATGTAGACCTTAAGAAAGACATCATAGAAGCAGGAAGGCCACTTGCTAATGACAAGAGGTTTAATTTAGAGAAATTTTAAATGTGTAATCGACGTAATAAAAATATCCTCAGTCATTAGAGAGAGTAAAAATGATAGAACAAAGAAAGTGCAACTAACAAGTCTAAATTTTGAGGGGGCTATCAACACACTCAAGCCTTGAAAGGTGAACTGGTCCAAGCTAATAAAGACAAAGCGAAAGTTTATTTATATACATTCAGATTCAAGTTTATTTAGGAGGAATCACACATAGCATCACTAAGTGACCACACTGGCCACAAAATCCAGAGCAGCAAAAGCCTCAAGACAGACATGGACAAAAAGCTCAGCCTACGCAGAGACAAGGTTGTGGAAAATCAGGTGTGTAACCCCAATCCAAGCTTCACCGATGCCAAACATCCGCCAGGTTCCGCCCTTGTTCCCATGCTCACAGAAACGAAGGCACACCCCGCTGACGACTCATCCTGGGGACTCGCACCCCAGGCCTCACGGACGTCCACAGTTCAGATCCCATTCAATTACCGTCCCTGTCACCAATCACTCAAGCCCTTGAGCAGAGGCTCACAGACCCACAACCAGGATATCAGACAGATGGCAAACGTTATGTTTCCACTCCTTTTCTCTCTTCAGCTTTTATGACAGGTGAGTGCACGGTTGACTTGTGTAGACTTGGTGACAGCAAGTTCTCCATTCAAATGGTAGCCTGTTCCATTGAGGAACTGCTCCGGTGGTGGACAGATGCATTTTTTATGTTGCACTGAAATCAGCCTCTCCAGAACTACTACTACCCGTTGGTTCTAATCCTCTGATTCTAAATCAGCCTCAAGAAAAGAGGAGAAATAGAGAAGAGAAAGAGTGAGAGAGAAGATAGCAATTAACCTCAAATTCGGCAATAGTGCTGCCATATTACTTTAGATTCGGCAAAGAAACAACTAACTACAGCCCTGGGTCTCTAATGAAATAAAGCAGTGGACAAGGAAATTTAAAAATAATGAAAGATCCGATATATGAACATACAGTAGTCCCCCCTTATTCAAGGCAGACACATTCTAAGACCCTGGTGGATGCCTGAAACCACAGATAGTACTGAACCCTATATATATATATATATATAAATAAAATGTTTTTTAAATATATATATAGCCGGAGAAGCAGTGGCATTAGGAGCTCAGGTCAATAAAATGTTTTTTCCTATACATATCCAAGTTGCCAGCATCGCTGCTCTTGCGATTTGGGGCCATTACTAAAGTAAAATAAGAGTGACTCAACACAAGCACTGAGGTGCCATGACAGTTGACCTGATAACCTATGGAGCTCAGAGACTGGTGCGTGGGGAGCTGGACAAAGGGACGATTCGCATCCCAAGAGCGGGGTGGCATAGGATTTCATCATGCGACTCAGAAAGACACGCAATTTAAAACTTACGAATTGCTCGCTTCTGGAATTTTCCATTGAATATCTTCAGACTGCTGTTGACCGCGGGTAACAGAAAGCCCAGAAAGCGAAACCGCAGATAAGGGGGGACGGCTGTAAAGACCATATATAACGGGGCAGGGGGTACGGTACCTTCGGGCAAAACTTTCATTGATTCATCTCCCAAACGTTTGTACTGCCCCGGCCCCCAGCTGCCTCCATCCCCTCACTTGATCTAGCACTGGGCTTATGAGCCACACGGCTCCAGCCTAGAATGTAAAAAGAGACGGGACAGAAGGGAACTAAACATGGAACCAGAAAGTCAGTTTGTAGGTAAAGTGCTATTTCAGTTTATATCCCCAAATATGAAACTCTTGCCTCAAGCTTCTGGGGATGTGTTGTACAGCACCAGAGTGTATTTTTAGGACATTTCTACTAAATCCAACACAAGACACAAATGGTGCCACTAGAATGCTGAGTGTGGGTAAATGAGGACAAAAGCTGGACGTGGACACGTAGAACGCGCCCGCGCGTAGGGGCTTAATATTTCTGGAATCTCCGCATGGATGCCTCCTTCCCACCTACTCACTCCTAAAAGTGAAATAGAAAGGTGAAAGTCCTAACGGCCCATCTTTGCAGAATTTCTAGAGCCCTTCTTGTCCTTGGGGACCCACGATCCACACCTGCTTACAGGGTGGGGGCTGCAAAGTTCTTCTAATTAAGGTAGCGTAAAGTACGCCATGCAGTCCCCTGGGGTCTTTTTCAAGAAGTGAAACCTCCTGGTAAGGCAGAAACTTTTTTATACATCCTTCAGCTCTTGTACGTGTGTATTAAACCAAAGTAATTAGGGTGAAGCCCAAGGTAGCAGAAGCCACTGATTTCCTGTCACCTGGTATCTATCAGCGATCCCAGGCCCGGCCTGTCTCACTCACCCTGTGCATTTGTGAAAGTAGCCACCGAAGTGAACTCGGCAGCCAGCAGCGAATCAGCCCTTGAGCTCTAAGGCCTTGGAGAGTCAGGTAAGGAATCAATTTTCTTTGTTTTAATGATTAAAAGGGAGTGATGGATAAGGCATGGGACGGTTAGGGAAGATTAGAGATTCTTGGCTTTACTTCTAGGGCTTCCCTGGTCAGATTTTCTGATGGCGTCATTAATTGAGAGGAGGGGTGACATCAAGGCTTGCTGACCACCCACATCCTTCTCTCCTTCTCTCACTCCCTCCCTCCCTCCCTCCCTCTCTTCAGGGCCTGGCCAATCAACTGTGAGTCATTCCACAAAAGCAGCGGGTTGTGGCTCGTAGATTAAGCACAGTGACTAACCGGCTGGGCGCAAAGCTGGCATTCTACCACTGGCATTCTACCACTTCCGAGCCATATAATTAGACCTCTCTGTCCCTCAGTCTCCTCTTCTACAGATAGTGCCCACTGCAGTATGAAGATTAAATGAGCTAAAATCCTCAAGCTCTTAGAGCTGGCTGCCTGGAACCAAACAGGAAAATAATCAGTTGTGGCTATCATGAAAATAACTCTATTTCTCTTGGTTTAAATGTTTTTGTCTCCAAAGATATCTCGCTAAATGTAAATATCTCGCCAGATATTGTTAAGGCTCACGGCCTAACATTTCTGGAGGGAGATGGTAGATACCGAAATGAGTACGAAATCCTGCCGCCAATCCATCACGGAAGCCTAGAATAAGAGTGATGGGTTTGTAAAAGTAGGCTGGAGACAAGAGGAAACTCCCATGAAGGGGAACAAAGAGGAATTTTTAACCCTGTCATAAACCAGTACACAATATGATTCCCTTTCCGTTTCTCGTAAAATGACTCGATCTCACCGATCAGATCACCTTTTTGTCCGACATCCTGGACATCTTGTAAACCTGCTCAGGGGAAGCAGTTCCATTTAACGTTCACTTCGAGGTTTCCTGAGCATCCGGTAGGGAATGAAACAGGTTCTCCGTGTAATCAGAGTGGGGCCTCTTGCAAGATTCACAGCCCATGAAAGAAGTTACAAGATGACCTAGAAAGAAAACAGTCTGGTGACAAGAAATGCAAAAGGCCGTGGGATCTGAAAGATGGGCGGGGGCGGGGCGAGAAGAGCAGGAACAGCCTCTGGTGATGTGCATGTCTCAGGGGGAGCGTGAGTGAAAATGAAGGGGCTGGGGAAGCATTTCGCAGTGGACGAGATTCAGAGAAGCGAGCAGGAGGCATGTCCAGACCAGCGCCCCGGTGGGGAACGGTGGGGTCCGAGGTTAAGAAGGGGGGTAGGGCGGAGCTGAGAAGGGTTTCTCCAGTGGGCAAATGACACGTTGGGAAGACGGCCGCGACCTAAGCAGTGACTTAGGAAGTCTGAACTAGCAACCTGTAGAGCCTGGATGAGAAAAGAGAAAGATTCAAGGCAGAAAAGCAAGATTTTTTTTGTGCTTAAATTAGGAGAGGAAATGAGACTCAAACTCAGGGGTGACGCTGTAAGTAAAACAAAGGTCCACCTGCAAGATAAGATACCTGACAGAGGCAGAAACCACGTGACCTGGCCATCGGTTTCACTTGGGAGATAAAGGAGCAGGAGTGAGTTATGGCTCCAACTTTTTAAGCGCAGGTGAGAGGGGAAACAGGAATAGAGCGACCTGAGGGATGATGCCCGAGGGTTAGCGCAGTTTCAACAGAGTGGCTCCCGCAGAAACTAACTAGCTGCCAAGCGCGGAGGTGTGAGTGGGCGGCCAGGAAGTGGAGGAGGAGCGGGGAGCCATGACCTTTTAAGAAGCTGCGGTCAAGGACAGGGGAGATCGGGCAGTGGCTGGGGACGCTGCTAGATTAAAGGAAGGGGCTTTGGGATTGGGGGACGCCGCAGCACATTTTAATTATTAAATAAAAAGGTGCGGTGATAACCATTATTCTTCAAGTGTTAAGTACTTTATAACTTGGAAATTATCTCACGTCCTCAGCACAATACTTTGAATAGAGAGATCACGAACGTGGCAAGCGACAGAACTGGGGCTTGCTCTTTGTGCTACAGGGCACCACAAACAATGAGAGACTGACGATACAAGAACCGATTTCTCTGAAGGACTGACATCTGGGTGGAAGGAGAGGGGCTGAGGAGATGGGCCGAGGAGCACAGGCAGAGGGCATGGAAGTTAAGAACATTCTTCCTCAGAGATGAGTACCCAGGAGGCCAGAAAGGATAAAAATGCAGAACTATTTTGAGTGGCAAAGGAGGAAGTTGAGGTAACAGAAGCTGGGCAGCTTTGAAGTGCTTGGTAAATGATGGAATCAATGGACCTAAAAGTCATTACTCAAACCAGAACCCATAAAGGCTGTGAGCTCTTCTTCAGTAGATGGATACGGAAACGGTGGTACCTTTTAAAAATCAAAAGAGATTTGCAGAAGTTGCTGTAATAAAATAGAGCAGTGTCTGATGAAGTGAGTCCTGATTTTAATATAGTTTACTGAAAATAAAATCCTATTGTTATCATCTTTTGACCCATGTGGTCAGTAACCCCGAATAACGTACTCACTAGTCTTTCGGCATAACTGTGTATGTAGGGCACTGTTTAAATAATTGTGGACAATATTTTTTTTTTTTGATAGGGCAAAGCTGCAGGAATCTACAATATCCTCAGGAGTATGTGGTCTGGTTTTATATATTCCCATATAGTGAAATTTTTCATTGCCCAGCCAGTCTACAATGCCCTGGCATAAATCTATCTTCTTTCTATCTGTCTGTCTGTTTGTCTGTCTGTTTCTCTTTCTCTCTCTCTCTCTCTCTCTCTCTCTCTCTCTATCATCTATCAATCTATCTATCTATCTATTGAGATAGATGATAGATATATTTTAGAGAGTTTATTTGCATAAAAAATGAAGTAGCAGATAGGACAGGTATGTTTGTGTTTATAAACTACCGGTTACAATAATATTTATTGAAGACTTCACAGAAATATAATTTCCATAGCGAGACATCATTTTAACAAAGAAACTATTTTCCCCCAATGTTATTACTGCCATTAGCCACTACAGACACAGCCTGAGTAGAACTTACATGTATAAGTGGTTTATCTCACCAATAATACAACACAGCCTTAGGCAGTTGAAACATAAGGATAAATTAAAATAACAGTAGTCCAATCATCTCCTTCTGTCCAGTAACTGACAGTCTTTGCTCTTTAAGTCACCTTCACTCAAATGAGCCCTTTACAGAGGAGCGCGGTGACTCCCAGCCTGTTCCATGCTTGCCCTGGGAAAATCAATCGACCCCTCTGAACCTCCATTTCCTCATCTGCCAAAAGACAAAATGCCGACTTAGTAAGGAAGGTGTCGGGAGAGCTGGAACTAGATATATACACACTATCCCTGGAACATGGTAGGTGCTCAGTAAACAACTCTAGCTATCTGACCTCGCCTGGTGGGGCAGCAGAAAGAGCACCAACCAGCCTCAGAGCCATGCTGACTGCCTTCCGGTGTGGCTCTGTCAACAAGAGCAAGATCTTTAACAATGCCTGTCCCACGTCCCATCCTTGGGCCACAGTCTCCTCATTTGTCAAATTAGCAGCATGGTTTCTGAGGTTCTGACTAGCTCTAAAAAATGTGCCCGGTGACAAGAATCAGTTTGTAAACTCCCTAGTGGGCTACATTTTTGCTTGTGGTCTTGTGGGGTGGTTTGTGGTACAAAGCAGATCCTGAAGACCACATGACATCTGATCATCTAGACCTGGGACAAAATCAAACGCAAAGCATCCAGTCAAAGTCTCCTTTCTAACCTTCAGCCCGCAGCCCAGACAGATATTCTGTTTTCAATTGATTTATAGTCATCCAAATAGCACATCTATTTAAAGAAAAAGGAAAAGGTTCATACATGAAATAGGCTGAGGGATGAAACAGCCTGCTACCAAAGACATCTTATTGGATGGGTCCAACTCTTTAAATCTCTACTAGCCATGTAACTTTGAATAAGTTACCTAACTTTTCTGTGCCCTTGTTATACTCTCTACGAAAAGGGGCAACGATTCATCCCTTGTCTACTCTGCGAGGCTCAGATGAGGTGCCAGATGTGAAATCTTTATGTAACTATAAAGTGGTTACAAATGTGAGGCCCGGGAGACTCCCAGTCGCCTGTCTCATAGTACTACTGCAGGAGCCCAGCTCTGTGTGACTTCAGCAAAATAAGCCAGGCGGACAGAGTCTTGGTCTCCAGGGCCCCTTACACAACTTGTGGTCAATAAAGACAAGACCAAAGACCTGTCCCTAAAGAGAGACTTCCAGGGCCCAGGAAAGACCCAGTGGAATTCATGTAAGTACCTGACGTAACCAAATGAACTTGACACCAAATGAACCTGACACCAAATGAACACCAAAAGGAAGCTCAAGGTGAAGAAGGCTGAGCAGTCTTAAGACGTTAGCGCTGGAGCTTGGTAATATGCACTGTCTAACGTGAAAAATGAATAAACCGTGAATTCTAAGAACAGATAGCATTTGCTACTTTCTCCCTGTGTACTAGGCATTTTCACATTTACTTATTTCTCACAACATGTGTGTGAAAGGGGTATTGTTCTCATTTTTTTTTAGACGGAAACAATAGAAACTAATACTCATAAAGGTAATGATACTAAGGACAAGAATAGCAACGAAAACAGCTAATGATTATTCAGACATGGGTACTGTACATACATTTCTTTCTTTGATCATATTTGCTAACGGGCTATTAAATCCAGCCATAATTTTAGATACTGGACAAGAGAGGGCAAGGTCTCTGCTTTGATGGAATTTATATTCAAGTGGAGAGAGACAGACAATAAGCAGGCAAGCAAATAAGGTAACTCCCTGCAGTGAGAAGTGCCATGAAGCAAATACAGTAGGAGAATGCATTGTGGAGTGAGGGTTTCTCTGAGGACCTGACATTTGAGCCACAGCTGAATAAAAACACAGCAGCCATGCACAGACCGCAGTCCACTTAAGTCTACTCTATGAGACAAGAAGTATAATTATTCCCACATTACGGTGGAAGAATTTGAGGCCCAGATAATTCAAAGGACTTGCCCGAAAGTTCACAGCAAATAGCAGAAACCTAATTCAAACCTAGGCAATCTGACTCAGGAGGCCATAGTCTTACGTACAAACTAGAGAGTCGCCTTGAAGTGATTTGTTCAAGAGTTAACAGTAGACTAGAATCGGTCCTTCATTATACTGTCATGATGCCTCTGGTCCATCACAATGCACGACAGCAGATAAGCAAAGGGACGAGGACGAGTCAATACAAAATACATTTTCTGATATTAAACCATTAAGAAAAGCATCCAGGGGTGAGAGACAAACACAACACGCAGATATGTGGGCACGGCGTTCTCTACAAAGATGAAGTATGCCCCAGACGTGGTTGTCGAGAATACTGGCTGCAGTCCCTGGGTCCTTATGTCCTCACCTGAGATTCCCCCTGTGGATCCTATCTTAGAGCATGGCAGGAGGCCTGGCCTCAGATCCAAAGTTGCAAGGAAGAGGCCATGTCTACCTTCAATGACATCCATGGAGAAAATACAGAGAAAAGTATTCAGGGGCGTGGCGTAAGATAAAAGACTGAAATCCCATTCTCTCTCTTCTCAATTTATGATTTGTTTTATTTTTAGGAGTTTTGAGGGTGAAATGACGACACCCAGAAATTCAATGAGTGGGGCTTTCCCAGCAGATCCTACGAAAGGCCCCATGGCCACACAACCTGTTCAAAGAATAATTCCCAAGAGGATGCCTTCCACAGTGGGTCCCATGCAGAGGTTCTTCATGACGGAATCCAAGGCTCTGGGGGTGAGTCAGCCGCCCTCCATTCCATATCCCAGGGATTCTCTGGCCTCCGGAAGCAGATGCTGGAGGCCGGTAGAGGACTCAGCCCAATATGAAGGTGCTTGATCCAATTGGACACAGGGGTTCGGATTGGGGGTGTGCAGAGAAGTCAACACGGTGACCTTACATGCCCTTTTGATTGTGAGGTTTGCATATTGAGGGGTCTCCATCACAGTTCGTTTTTGGCATCCTAGGCACACCTGCCTTGGAAACGCCCCAGGTGGCGAGAAAATGGATCCGAACAAGACCAGCATCTTAGCACCTTCACCACTTCCTCTGGCCTTTTACACGGGCCCAAGTCCAGAGCCAGGGCTTCCGGCCTGACCTTTGCTTTCTGACTTGACGATTTCCGTTCACCTGTCTGTGCCCCTCTTCTCTCCCCAGGCTGCCCAGATTATGAATGGGCTCTTCCACATTGCCCTAGGCAGCCTCCTGATGATCCACATGAACGTGTATGCACCCATCTGTGTAACCGTGTGGTACCCGCTCTGGGGAGGCATTATGGTGAGTAAAAACTCACAACCATTCGGGGAATGAGGCAGACGAAAATGTTCAAAAGCTCCATCGGCATATACCAGATTATTTCTGTGTTGAGGAAAATATATAGGTAGGAAATAGGTTATCAGTGAAAAGAGGGTCGACTAACTTGAGCGTGAATGCCGTGGTTGAGAGTCCGTGCTCCTGCTTCACGTGAAGTCAGAGAAAGATAATTTATACAGAGAAGGAAGATTATTGAAAGCAGGACTTCTCCAAAGTCAATTTGGGGGATGGGGTGCGGGGCAGAGCACTAGACGTCTGGACGGTATAGCATGGTGTTTCAGAAAGCGAAAGGAGGTAGGAGCATCCCACCTCCTCCCAACTGGTCCTTCCTTCTTCCCTACCGTTCTGTTTAATGACTGTTGCACGCGGTGAAATTAGTCCCATCCCAAATAAATCTCCTTTTGTTCCTCAGGAGAGCAGCCTTCCTGACGGCTGTTTTATGTATATGTTTTCCAAGCCTGTAACTCTGTTGGGTGTGGGCGGGGCAGTGGTGTTTATATTACACCTTCACAGTTGCTACTACGAAGATGAGTCTGAGATTAAAACTTTCAGAACAAGGAGAGAGGGATTTAGAATAAGAGTTTTCTCCTTTTATCGTTTGAGCAGCAGAAAAGGAAAATGAGAAATCACCTTCATCTCTTCCTGCAGCAGCCCGCATTTTAATGGGGTGCCTGTGACATTCGGGCCAAATATTTCCTACATCGATTCATTCTTCATTGGTATCAAAGTCATTTAAATCATTGTGAACGTCAAAGAGCAATTCCACCATTTAAAAAAATAATAATAAAACTAAAAATAAAACTTAAATTCACAGTTTGACTATTAATTGACATGGAAATGTGAATTCTGCCTCTTTGGTCTTATTATATTCCTAGTCACAGCTCCCCAATTAGTTAAATAAAAGGCATGGAATGAATGTAGTTGAACCTGAAGGAAAGAGAAATACGACTGCTGAAAAAATAAATGAATCCGATAAAAATGGCTGGATAGTTTAGTAAAAACGGTTGAAAGTGTAGATGGCTTTTTTATAACCAGTTCTCAATGGTAAGAAGTAATGTCCCTCTCTGCCTCGCTCCCTCTGCCATTTCTCCCATCTCTCCCACACCCTTCCCCACCTGCCACCTGTCTTTTTACAGTATATCATTTCTGGATCACTCCTGGCAGCAGTGGAGACAAACTCCAGGAAGAGTCTGGCAAGTAATCGTATGTTCTTCTTTCCCAAACATCAGAGAAATAACTAATTTCTCTGTTGAAAACAAAGGCCCTTAAAGACCTTCCGAATCACAGTAGCACTGAGTTCTCTCAACCCTAAAAAGCAAAGATCTGTTACAATGCTGTTGTGATTTTATTTATGAAACACTTGGCAATGAGATCTACCTGAAACGTGTCCATGGAAACAGAATTAAAGGCAGATCGATGAAGAGTCTGCTTATGAACTTAACGACTGACAAATGCCCTGTGAGGCTAACGCATCTCTTTGGAAGCTGTGTCATTTCTCTTAGGTCGCCATTTAGGACAACTGTCTAATCACTGCTATGGTTGGCTCAAGTCCTATTTAACCTTGAGCTGTAACTTTGAGCAAGTCAGTTCACCTCCATGTACCTCTGAGTTTTCACCTATAAAATGGAGATAATAGTCCTTGCTACCGTATGCAATTGTCAATAGGATGAAATGGAGTGATATATACAGGAAAGTGTTTTGGAGGCTATAAAGAGCTATAGAGTGGTCTTGTTATATAACTCCTAAGGACACATTTACACCCAGGAAGATCGCCCCATTCTGCATGGGTCAAGGGCTTACCAATAAACGGATTGGATGGTGATGGCGTAAACTGAGATGGGGGAGACGGAGAAAGGCACAGGATCGGGAGATGAGGGTTTTTATTTTATAGTGACAAGGAGACTGAAAACAACAGAAAGAAGTGTGATGTAGGATGATTTAAGTACAGTATGTTTGTGAGTCAGAGGAATGAGGTCTGGGATGCCTTCCTAGCTTACATCCTCCAAATTTAATCAATTCCACCATTACTAACTCTTTATGTCTCCATTTCAGGTCAATTACTAACTCTTTATGTCTCCATTTCAGGTCAAAGGGAAAATGATAATGAACTCGCTGAGCCTTTTTGCTGCCATTTCTGGAATAATTCTTTTGATCATGGACATATTTAACATTACAATTTCCCATTTTTTTAAAATGGAGAGTCTGAACTTTATTAAAGCTTCCACACCATATGTGAACATATACAACTGTGAACCAGCTAACTCTCCCAGTAAAGAATATTGTTACAGCATTCGATCTGTGTTCTTGGTAAGTGTGAAATTTGATTTCTTTTCAGAGAAGAAAACTGGCATTTTTATTATGAGCATCAACTCTAGATCCAGGCTCTCTGCATCTGCTACTTATTGACTATATGGCTTTGGGCAAGCATTTTAACCACACTCTGCCTCAATATCAATTGTAAATGGGGAAGGCAACAGAATTTATCTTGCAGGGCTGTTTTGAAGGATGAGTTAATAGATGCAAAGCTTTTAGAACAGTCTCTGGTACACAGAAAGTGCTCTGTAAGTATTTGCTTTAACATTAATATTATTAATGGTATTAATGTTTTATTATTATTAAGTCGAACAGTGAAGAACTACCTAGGTTGTTATAGATATCTTTTGCTTCAAGGAGTTTTTAGTATAGAGTTTGAAGGTGTAAAAAGCATCTCCCAAGTGTGAAGAGGTTTCCTTGTGTGATACTGCCTATATACAGCTGGATACAACTTAATTTGGGACTCAGCAATTATTCTTTCCTACATAAAATTGATTCTTCAACTAATTGTTACTGCCTTGCTTTCATTTAGCAACATGCATCAACTATCCATTGTGTGTCAGTTGTGATAACGGTCAGGGTTCTAAAGAGACTCATTCTTACAGGTAGTCATCACTCACCTAAAGATTTGATCTCTTAATCATTAAATTTTGGTCAAGTCATTTACTGAACACCAACCGTACTCTTCTATTTTTCATTATTACATTTTCACCCTCATTTTTTTCTGTTGTTCTCCAGAGCATTTTCGCAGTGATGCTGGTCTTCACCTTCTTCCAGAAACTTGTGACAGCTGGCACTGTTGAGAATGAATGGAAAAAACTATGCTCCAGACCCAAAGCTGTAAGTAGTAGCCGCTCTGTCCACAATCCCCCTCCAGAAAAATCGTGTCTTACAAAGGATCATTGACAGAGGACGCGATCTGAGGGGCCCGGGAGCTTCAGGGAAAATGGCCTCGCCATATTTCTGGAAAGCAGAACATACTAATAGCGAGGAAGAGTGTCTTGAAATTTGAAATTCGTTGGTTAGACGGAGAATACAGTTCTGTGATATGTGCTCCCTCCGACCACCCTTGAGTTCTGCTTGAGTCGGGCATCCAACCTCATTCCATACTCAATGTGTAAAAGCAGGATGGCTGAAGGTTGGAGGCTGATTAAAGCTACTGGTTCCTCCACTTTCTTTCTCAGTAATGCCTTCTTCCACCCTCCCTCAACCTTTTCATCTAATCCCTCTTCCAAAAAAAAACAGGGTTGAAGAGGCTCCACAACTAAGAGATAGAAATATCTCCATGACAGATCTATTATCAAGTGCTTCAGAAACATCGAATGTCAGATTTAGATTACAGTTTAGAAATCATTAATTCCTTCGTTTTGCAGATGGGAAAAAAAATAAGATTAGAGAGAGAAAATGATTACCTCCAATCAAAGCAAATCAAAACTAACATCTGAATTCTTCTATTATTGCAGTGTTCTTTCCCCAATACTGTGTGACCATTCCAGGCAAAGTGGCACATAACTGCTGGCCTTGAGGATGAGTCTTGATAAGTGATTTGAGAAGGATCTGAGCGCCTGGGAAATTAATTCTGGGTGGGACTGAGAGGCATGTAGGAAATAACATAGAAAGCGTAAAAATGCGGAGGTGTTTGATAAATATTTGTAGAGGTTGTTGGAAAATGTGCAAATGATAAAGGTGAAGACAAGTTTACTTTTGTGTTCTAGAATGTAGTAGTTCTCCTGTCAGCTGAAGAAAAAAAAGAACAGGCCATTGAAATAAAAGAAGAAGGGGTGGAGCTGACAGAAATATCTTCCCAACCAAAGAACGAAGAAGACATTGAAATCATTCCAGTCCAAGAAGAAGAAGAAGAAGAAGAAACAGAAATACATTTTCCAGAACCTCCCCAAGATCAGGAATCCTCGCCAGTAGAAAATGAGAGCGCCCCTTAAACTATATTTTGTTTTCTGTTTCTGTTTTCTAAGCATTAGTGTTCACAGCTTCCAAGAGGCATGCTGACCCCCATTTCTTGAGGCACTCTGCATGTATCCTCTACATCTCTCTATGGTCACCCCCCCCCCCCACTTCCCACAAAACACCCATCA